AGTTTGATCACTGGGTCAGGAAGATCCCTGGGAGGAGGGCACGGCAACCTACTCCAGTTTTCTTGCCTGGAGAATCCCATAGACAGAGGAGCCTGGTGGGTTACAGTCCATGGGGTCACAGAGAGTTGGACAAGACTGAGCAACTGAGAACACAGCGTTTAGAATACAATCTGGTTCACGGCACGCCCCCAGTGGGACTCAGCACTGTCTCGCTTTGAGTTCTGGTCCTTTCTCATGTCCCTCTCACCTTCTGTCGCTGTCCCATCTTTTTCACTTGTATATAAGTCTACTTGTATTCACATTATTTTGCTTTCTTGATACCGTCTTCTCCATGCTATGGTATCTCACATTGTCTGATCGTCATTGATAAACTGGCACCAACCCAGGAAATCTGTCCCTGGGGTTGTTGAGAGGAAACAAGTGGCTTTTCATTTTGATTTAATTATTAATCTACTTTAGTATTTAATGCAGAAAATATCCTCACAGTGCAGGGTTATGGTGAAAAGGATGCATTATCACGATTCTGCTAACTTTCAGAGGGCTAGCCAGCTTAAAAGGAGAAAGTACTGGACAGACACAAATGTGGGGAAAACGTAAAAGCAATTAATTTGATTTTCATGGCTTTTATTTATGATTTTTCATGTATCTCCTCCAGGGGGCTGGGAGGGTGAATTTGGATTGTGACCAGTAAGCCATAGCAGAGTATTAAGATGAGTAGATGTTAGGATGGGCTTCCCAGGGGGCACTAGTTGTAAAGAACCTACCCGCCAATGCAGGATCTCCTGCATTGTAAGATGCAGGCTCAGTCCCTGGGTTGGGAAGATCCCCTGGAGGGGACATGGCAACCCACTCCAGTATTCCTAGCTGGAGATTCCCCATGGACAGAGGAAGCTGGCAGGCTACAGTCTGTGGGGTCACAAAGAGTTGGTCATGACTGAAGCAACTTAGCACACACAGATGCAAGGACCTACAAGGGCCCACAGCAGCATGCCAAGGAGGCTTGCATGCTGCATCTTAGGCAAATGAGAACCTCAGTTACTACGGCGGTTCCATAGATGCACAGCCCAATGTGGTACTTACAAAATGTTAAATTGCTTGAGAGGTACATGTGATTAAGCCTTTCAAATCCATAATCCATACAGCGAATTAGTCCTGATTTTTGCCCTTTTAAAAGTTAATGAATGTATTTTTGTCTCTATTTCCGCCAAAGAATTGAACTCACTCAAATGCCAGATCTGTCCATGCTCAATTCAGATGAGAATTCCATCTTCCATTAAAAACCCCTCAATGAAACACCATTTAATCTTTTTCTCTTTACTTATTATCTGTATCATGAACTCCTCGTATTTTTGTGTCTTTAATGACCAAAGTAAGTTAGAATTAGTCTACTGTGCTTCAAATAAGCACAATTACCTCTCCAATTACCAAAAACTAATGCATGAGCTTATTTATTCCTTGCAGTCATGGAGGAGTCCCACCCCCTTCCCCCAACCCCACCACCGAGAATGCAGTCTGAATGAGATGCTAGTCTGGGCTGCCCGAGGTTCTGAGGGTCCAGCTCACAATTTTTGCACCAAGTACCCCCTTCTCTGTGCAGCCAAGGGCCAGGGTCACCTGCTCGGCCTATTGTTAAACCTTTTAGCATTTGTTTTACTCAAAACATTGCAGGCCATTTCCATGTCTACAGCATCATCATTGTGGGAGTGACTTAACCAACTTATGTGTGTCCTTTGCCAACTAGCCAGCTATAAAGTGGGATTAAAGCTGTTGGATTCTCTTGAGCCTTCTCAAGAGAAGGCTTCTGAAAAGGCCCCATGGAGATGCCTATTACCATCATTATCCCATAATAATTCCATGTAGTAACAATACTGCTATTATTTCATACTTCATACCTGCCCTTCATGCTCCTGCTCAGTCGCTCAGCCATTTCTGACTCTTTGAATCCCACGGACTGTAGCCCACCAGGCTCCTCTCTCCATGAGATTTTCCAAGCAAGAATACTGAAGCGAGTTGCCATTTCCTCTTCCAGGGGATCTTCCCTACCCAGGGATTGAATTTGCATTTGCATCTCTTGCGCCTGTGCCTGCCCTTAGCCAGTAACAATTTGGATTAGGGGACCAAGTGCCTTATACTGGTGTTTGGTGGTGTACACTTTTCTTGATCAGATAGCAGGTGTTTCATTGACATCATGATTCCTGTGGATATTTCCGTTTCTCATACAGGAAAGAGACCCAGGGTTGGGATCTATGAAGCAGTGTGTAATTCAAGGCAAGGTATGTGACCACGGGAGTTGGGATTATAATTCAGTACCAAGATTGCCCTCTGTGTAGTGCTCCAGGCTTGGCTGGACGTCAGGTGGAAGAATGGGAGAGTGTGAGTCCTCCAGCTTCCCAGCCATGTGACCTTGGGCAGGTGCCCTACTTTCCCTGAGTCTCAGTCTCCTTATCTGTATAACAAGTGCACTGCACTTACTCCACAGTGTTGGGGAGATGATTAGGTGAGTTCATACATGTAAGGTTCCTGGTTCAGAGAAGACCATGCACGAGTGCGCATGCGCGTGCACACACACACACACACACACACACACACACACAGGTAAACACATCACTTCCAGAGATAGTCCCCAAAGAAACAAGTCAGCATAACCCACTGCAGGAAGTAACTTTAACACATGTTGAAAACAAAAACAAAATGAGTATGAAGGGCCTAGGGGAAGCAGCCCACACAGGATGCATGCTCCCCAAGGAGTTGCCTCTGGCCAGGGCGTGTCCCAGTCAAACCAAGGGACAGCTGACTTACCCTGGGAGCAACCCAGCCCTTCAACCACACGCCCCCCACCCCTCCAACTTTGACTTTGCTCTAAACAGCAGTCCCACTCATGCTAAGGGGCCAGATTCAAGGGCTTCCCTGGGAGGGAGGCAGGGATGCCTGAACAGGTGGGACCTGGGAGTCCGTGACAGCTCCCCAGGGAAGGTCATTCTGAAAGTCAGATGCAGCAGGGTGCTCCCCACATGAGCGCCCCCACCTTACACAGCAGCCCCTCTGCAGTGGCCTGTGCAGCTCAGCGGTCAGGACCTCGGTCTGCAGGTCATTGCAGTGACCGAGGGTCCCACTCAGCAGGGCCTCTTCCTCCGTCAGTATCCCACTGGAAGCCCCCTGCCTTTCTCCTGGCATGTGCCCCGCCCCCCATGCAGTCACAGGACAGTTGTGCATCCCAGAAGAGGGGTGCCAACATCCAGTGAGCTGTGGCATCCTCTTTCCTGAGCATTGGGCCTGAAAATGAAAAGTGAGAATGTTAGTCGCTCGGTCGGGTTCAGCTCTCTGGGACCCCCATGGGCTGTAGCTCACTAGGCTCCTCTGTCCATGCAATTCACCAGGCAAGAATACTGGAGTGGGTTACCATTTCCTTCTCCAGGGAATCTTCCCGACCCAGGGATTGAACCCAGGTCTCCTGAATTGCAGGTGGATTCTTTACCGTCTGAGCCACCAGGGAAGCCCTGGAGCAGCGCTAAAAGGATTCACACTTTGCGTGAGCCCTAGAGAGCAAGGAACGTCCTAGGCCCAAACCAGCACCTGGGTCTGCCCCACTCCTCCCGCCGAGCCCTACAGGCTTCTATTCCAAGATCTCCTAGTGGCTGGGAATCAGCACCCACTACAGCCCAGCCAGAAACTACCTCGTGCCCCACCCCCAAAGCACCCTCCCAGGGCACTCCCACCGCCTTCTCGAAGCATCTGTAGTCAGCATCTCTTCCCACTGGGAGCCACTTCTGCCATCAGTGAAGCAGAGGATGTAATGCCTCTCTGGGTCCCTGCTCCCTGCAGCATATTTGCAAGATGTGTGATTGGGAGGAGAAGGCAGGTAGACAGAGGATGTATGGTGAGAAGAGCGGGGCCATGGCAGCCCCCTGCACAACAGAGGGGACTGAGGAGGAACAAGGCTGTGGGAGGGGAGATGGGGCTGGTTAGGGGCATGGTGGGAACTGAGCCAGTGCCCCATTTCTCCCGTGTGACACCGGTATTGGCCTCCTGGCTTCCTTTGTACTGACGATTGACAGGCTGTGTTCACAGCAGGTTTGTTAGTGCAAACAAGAGAGCTTGGAGGAGAATTTGTTGGCATTACCACAACCCTTAACACCACGATCAGCCTAACTCAGAGTTCAAGCCAACGTGTCCATATGGGGAGGAGCCTCTCTCTGAAGGGGGAAACCAGGAGTATGAACTGGCTGCTGACAGACTGAATCTGACTCACAGATGGATTTTCTCTGGCTCGCTTGCTGTTTCAAAAATTGTTGAATTAGTTGTCAACCTTGAAAAACAGATTTCTTGTTTAAAAGTCTTCATTTCTAGCTTTTCTGGGAAAAGAAAGTAGAAGATCTTGCAGCAGCAGCTCCACAGTCTTGTCTGAGAGTATTAGCTGGAGCTGAGTAAGGCTGCCCTCCGAGCATGTACTCACCGCAGTCCCCACCACTCCCTATAGTGTCCCCAAAACCCAGAGGAAGTTTTGGTTGCAGTTACCTTGTATTTCCCTAGTGATTGCATTTACCATGGGCTCCCCTGGTGGCTAAGATGGTGAAGAATCCGCCTGCAATGCAGGAAACCCAGATTCCATCCCTGGGTTGGGAAGATCCCCTGGAGAAGGGGATAGGAACCCACTCCAGTGTTCTTGCCTAGAGAACCCCATGGGCAGAGGAGCCTGGTGGGCTACAGTCTATGGGGTCTTAAAAGAGTTAGATATGAATGAGGTGATTGAGCATGCACGCATGCACGCAAGCCAGTAAGAATCCTCCCTGACTTTGGAGTTCTTGGTTTCTAAGGAGACGACCCTACCCTCAGGCTACATACAGTCCATGGGGTCACAAGAGTCAGACACGATGAAACAAAAACAAGGAGCAAGCGGGTTGTCTGGTCAACACGCACAGGCGGTGTGTCTGGTCAGAGAGGCAGCAGCTCCGCTCCCTGACCTCACTCACCTGCCTTTGGAGGCAGCCAAAGTTGGGTACCAGCCTCCTGGATTCTGGTCACCACAGCGTGCCCTCCTCACTCAGGTATTCACCCCACTCCTGGCAGAGGCAGACACACCTGAAATGAAGGAACATCCAGCCAGAGTCGTTCAAGGTGAGATCAGTGACTGCCAGCTCGTGGTCTCTGGTCTGGAAGGGACCAGGGTGTCCACACAGAGATGCTTCTGGAAGTCAAAGGAGTTCTCAGGGATTATGTCAGGACACCATGTGTTGCCTGGCACCCTGTCTCCTTGGAGCAATTAGAGACCTGTGTGAGCGAATACTGCTGTAGTGAGAAAAAGTCCAGGAGCCGTTGTAAGCATAAACAGGGGTTTTCAGTTCAGTTCAGTTCAGTTCAGTCGCTCAGTCGTGTCCGACTCTTTGTGACCCCATGAATCGCAGCACGCCAGGCCTCCCTGCCCATCACCAACTCCCGGAGTTTACTCAAACTCATGCCCATCGACTCGATGATGCCATCCAAAGTCGTGTCCGACTCTTTGCGACCCCATGAATCGCAGCACGCCAGGCCTCCCTGCCCATCACCAACTCCCGGAGTTTACTCAAACTCATGCCCATCGACTCGATGATGCCATCCAGCCATCTCATCCTCTCTCGTCCCCTTCTCCTCCTGCCTCCAATCTCACAGGGGGTTTTAGCTGGGGACAAAAGCCGGAGGGTGGAGGGAGGAGAGGGGTGTTGGCCCCAGCTCTACGCGGCAGCCTGGGCAAAATCATGAACTGGTTTCCAAGCACGGATCAGGATGTGTCGTCAGCTTCCTCCTCGGCCAGGTGTTTCAGAGCTCCGTTTAGAGGCTTTGGAATCAAATGTGTCCAATTCTGCCACTTAATAACTGAACGGCCTTAAGCAAGTTACTTAATCACTCTGCTTTCATGATCTGAACATGAGGCTGCTAAAACTGACTTAATAGATGTGTTTGAGCATTAAATGAGACACTGCATAAAAGGCACCCAGTACAGACATGGCCAGTCACGGGTGTTTAGTACGTGAGCTTTTCTTTTCCTTCATTTTTTTTTTGTTTGTTTTATTTTTACTTAAAGATCCAATTTTTAATTTTCATGCTTTAGCCATGCCACGTGGCATGTGGGATCTTAGTTCCCTGACCAGGGATCAAATGCACACCCTTTGCACTGGAGGCATGAAGTTCTAACCACTGGACCACCAGAAAATTCCCAGTATGTGAGCTTTTGTGCTTATCCGCTCCTGTATCTCATGTCAAGAAGGCTCACCTCACTCCACTCACTGGGCACCCTCTTTGCCAAGTCTTTCCTGAGCCCTCCTTACCCACTCAGGCCAGGCTGAATCAAGAACCCTGCCTTTGTCCCTCTGTCACTCTCTGTGGCATCTTTTGCCTGTGTGTCCCCACCAGTGCATGAGCTCTGTGAGGGCAGAATATAGAGCAGGGGTCCTCAGTCTCTGTTACCCATTAGAATGGCCTGGGTCGGGCTCCCAGGGTGTAGGACCCAGGCATCAATCAGCATGGCATCCAGCTCCCAGTTGATCACAGGGGCACACAGGGAGACTGGCCTGAGGACCAGCAGCATCAAGGTCACTGGGAGCTGCTGGAAAAAAATGCAGAGTTTAGGAACCCCAGACCTACTGTACCAGAATCTGCATTTTAACAAGACATTTATGCATGGAAAGCAAAGAAAAAGGGTGATGTGCTGCTCCATCCCCTTCGACCCCCACTCCTGAGCCATCATGCACATTTGCAGGTGATGCTCAGTGGAGGGTCACTGACTCACTGAATGAATGAATGAATGAATCTTGTGTGTCAGTTTCCAATGGGCTCTCACATGTGTGGTATCACATATGTTGTCACCCATATACTTTTTGAACATGGACTCAAAGAATAAAATCACCAGACATCCAGGAAATAAAAAATAGTCTACCACCTAAGTTGATAAGAAAAAAATAGCTGCAAAATGGGAGGATTTTTAAACAAAATACCTGTTGGGTTTTTTTAAGATGTGTTACTTCTGAGCTGTCTGCCATTAAGTCTCAGAATGCACTAAATTAAGCTTTGTTTTGTTTTTTGCTTTTAAGTAAGTAATTACAAAAGCTGGGAAACCAGGGCTGGCCCCCTGGGAGAAGCCAGCCCATCCGTGTAGTTTGGGCCCAGGCTCTGACTGGCAGGGACCACTGGCCGATTCCTTCTGGGCAAAGAGGAGCTCTGCTATCAGATTCTGAGCCAGCGCCACTGCCACACTACCCTGCAACCCCCCTGAGCCTCTCCTGGACTCTGCTCTCCGCTGGCCCCAGCCTCTCACTGCTGTTTCTGCACCAGGCTCCAGGCAGGCAGCCTGCAGGTGCATCTCCTCTGGAGCTCAGGTTCTCTTCCAGCGCCTGTGGTTGTGGCAAGATTTCCTTGTTTGTGGTTGTCAGACTGAAGTCCTTGCTGGCTGTCAACAAGGGGATGCGTTCAGCTCCTGGGGTTCACCCACATCCCTTGCCATGTGGCCTCCTCCATCTTTAAAGCCACAAAGGGAATGTCTGTCCATCTAATTCCTCTTGTGCTTTCAGTCTCCTGCTTCAGAAAGAGCTCAGTCCTTTTAAGAGCTTATCTGATGAGGTTTGGCTCACCCCAGATGATCCTCCTTGCTTAGAGTCAACTGAACCAGGACACAGCCCTATCACTGGAGTGAGAATCCTGTCCCTACACCCGGGGATGCACTGGGAGTGTCTGGGGGCAGGAATCGTGGGGGCCTCTCCGAATTCTGCCCGCTTTCATGTGTCCTCTCTTCCCAGTGTGCACCCTGCTGATTAGACTTTATATACTCCCTGCTTACCTTGAGGGCCCTTCAGGACCCTGGGGCAACTTATTCATCAGCCAGTTTGGAGTCTTTTCACACTTAGTAAGCAGTACAACTGTATAGCTTCATATAGTATAGCAATTATCTCAGTCTGAGAAGTGAATATATTCCCCTCCAATACTGTTCCTCCAACGCTCAGTCACTCGGCCATGCCCAACTCTTTGTGACCCCCCTGGACAGTAGCCCGCCAGGCTCCTCTGGGATTTCCCAGGCAAGAAAACTGGAGTGGGTAGCCATTCCCTTCTCCAGGGGATCTCCCCGATTCAGGGATCAAACCCATGTCTCTTGCATCTCCTACACTGGCAGGCAGATTCTTTACCACTAGCACCACCTGGGAAACCCCCAATACTCTTTCTCCAATCTCATCCCAGATCCGAGGGAACTCAGACTTTGACCCAACACATCTAAGAGAGAAAGGAGGATATTGCTAAGGGTGCCTGCAATGCCCATTTCACAGTCGGAAACTGAGTCTGAGACAAGGCTCCCAGGCCAGTGCTGTCTTCAGGATACCCTGCTGGTCCCCACGCGCAGTTTCTATCAAGCTACTGTGTCCATGACTTCCTAAAGCATCCCATGACACAGAGTTTTCTTCACTGGGGGTTGGGTGGGAGGTGTTTTTTGAAATTCTTAATACAGAGGTGCATTTAAATGGATGTCAGATTAACGAATGCATCCTCTGAAATACAACTTTCTTTGAGTTTTCCTCTTTTGATTCTTTCTCCACTTGTGTCTTTATATCAAAGAGATTAAACCACTTTGCTGGACTTGAAGCTCTGCCTCTCCCAGGAGCTTTAATCGTGTCTTGGCACAGCTTTCCATTTGGGATGTAGGAGAGGATGAAAGATGAAGAGCAATATTGGCCTTGATGAGATTGAATAGGATTTGCTCACGTCAAGGCCTCTCCCTGGCCCTACAGAAAGCAGTGCCCACACTCTGCTGACCTCGGCCAGGCCCACGCCTTCTCCCTGCCTCTTTCTCTACAGACATCAGGGTTCAAAGAGGGAAGGCTAGAATGCAAAGTATGGAAGGCCTGGGCCTGCATTCACCTTACTGCTTTATTACTAGCTCTGAGCACAGGTGTTGGACTCAAATAGCTCTTCAATTAGTGCTTGTTCAGTGAATGCATAAATTAATACAGAGGATCTTGAAAATCTGATTAAAGAATCTTCATTGTCCATGAAAACCCTTTTGACTTGAGCCCACAGCTCAAGGCACAGCACTGGAGACTGAGATTTCTAGTGTGGGCAGTTGGCTTACCCTAAGTAATTTGGGGCTTCTCTGGTTCCTTAGACAATAAACAATCTGCCTGCAATGCAGGAAACCCAGGTTTGATCCCTGGGTCAGGAAGATCCCCTAGAGAAGGGAATGGCTACTCACTCCAGTATTCTTGCTAGAGAATCCCATGGACAGGGAAGCCTGGCAGGCTACAGTCCATGGGGTCGCAGAGAGTCTGACATGACTGAGCCACTAACATGAAGTAGGAATCAGGTGGCTGAGGTTCCGTGCCTGACACCTGCCCTATGGATTGAACACGGGGCATTTAAGTATCAGACTCAGATGCTCCCTGCCTCTGTCTTCTTTAAAATGGGGTTATGGGACTTCCCTGGTGGTCCAGGGGTTAAGACTTCACCTTCCATCGCTGGGGGTATGGATTCAACCCCTGGTCTGGGAGCTAAGAGCTCACATGCCTTGCAGCCAAAAAAACCAAACATAAAGCAGAAACAATATTGTAGCAAATTCAATAAAGTCATTTAAAATGGTCCATATAAAAAAAAATCTTTAAAAATAGAATAAAATGAAATGAGGTTACTGTGCAATTGCATTAAATTTCAATTCAAGGAGAGTTTGTGCCTACGTTTATGGTTTTTTTTTTTTTCCATATGTTCTTTCCCTGAGTGTCCATGATCAAACTGAAGCAAACAGGGCTTTCCTGTTGTCTCAGTGGTAAAGAATCCACCTGCCAGGGCAGGAGGCACTTGTTTGATCCCTGGTCCCGGAAGATCCCAAATGCCCTGGAGTGACTAAGCTGGTGCACCAGGACTATTGAGCCTGCACTCTAGAACCTGGGGGCTGCAACTGCTGAAAACCAAGAGCCCGAGAGGCCTTGCTGTACAAGGGAAGCTATCACAATGATAAGCCCGCTCACCGCAACTAGAGAAAAGCCCGTGTGCAGCAATGAAGACCCGGCACAGCCAACAATAAATAAACAACCTAAAAAAAGAAACTGAGGCAAAGAAAGTTAAGGCTGTTTCTCTTTGGATCCCAGAGCAGGTGTGTTGGATGTTAGGCTGGAATCCAGGTCTCACCCTGGGTTGAGCGGATGATCCCTCCTGTGATGATTCGTGCTCACCTGGAGAATGGGTGCCAGCATCAGATCAGAAATTGACCTCTCTTCCTGTCTGCTGGACACAAGAAGTTTTCCCATCTGGGTGGAGGTGCCCCAGAAAGTCTCTATCTTTTTTTNCCTCCTGTGATGATTCGTGCTCACCTGGAGAATGGGTGCCAGCATCAGATCAGAAATTGACCTCTCTTCCTGTCTGCTGGACACAAGAAGTTTTCCCATCTGGGTGGAGGTGCCCCAGAAAGTCTCTCTCTTTTTTTTTCCCTCCTGTTTACAGTACAGAACAAGGCTTTCTCCTGCGAGAATGTATGAAAGTAGGTTTAAAAAATAAAGAAGGAAACAGTGCAGAAAATCAGTGGAATACTGCCTTCCTGAAAGAGCTGAGGGCAGAGAGTGCGCTTTCTTGTCCGTGACTCATTCTTGCGGGTGCAGAGCCTGCCCTGCCCAGTGTCAGAGGCCGGGGAAGTCACAGGAAGCACTCCCAGTGGACCCCCCATCTGGGTTACAGAGTCTTATGGTTCCACCCAGGTTCATGAGAGTCTTTGAGCATCCTTTTTAAAAAGTTTTATTGGAGTATAATTGCTCTGCAATGCTGTGTTAGCTTTTGTGGTACAGCAAAGTGAATCAGTTTACATATACATATATCCCCTCTCTTTTATATTTCCTTCCCATCTGGGTTAGAGCATTTTAATGTCTGTGAGCAAAATATCAGAAAAACTGTAGATGGAGTTCTACAGGATTCTAGGTGTTTCTTTAAAGTGCAGCATACTGGTAAAGAACCCACTAGCCTACACAGGAGACCTGGGTTCGACTTCTAAGTCTGGAAAATCCCCTGGAGTAGAAAGTGGTAACCCACCCCAGTATTCTTGCCTGGAAAATCCCCTGGACCGAGGAGCCTGGTGGGCTACAGTGCATGGGGTTACAAAGAGTTGGACATGACAGAAGCAACTTAGCACTGATATATTCCAAAAATATTTTACAACCCTTTTGAAAGCCTTGGGGCATTAACATCCTGACTGTCTCAATTTCTCACAGAGCAAGGAATTACTGTATCAGAATTTATAATGGCGAGTCTAAACAGCAATTTGTTATATTGGTAAGTGCTCAGACAGCCAGACTTCCCGCTCAGACGGTTGGAGTGACCACAGGGTGAATCAGACACATGCTGCCTTTTCCTTTCTGTCTGTTGCTAAGATCTCAGATGACAAGAAAGGAGATAGGGAGGGATAAAAGAAAGAGCACAGACTTTGGGCCCGACCTGCTGGAACCCAAATATCAGCTCTTCCACCTGGATGTCACTTATGCTCTTTGGGACTCATGTTCTTCTTGCTGTTCAGTCGTTGCGTCATGTCCAACTCTTTGCAACCCCATGGACACAGAGGACACCAGTCTTCCCTGTCCTTCACTATATGGGACTGTTGGGACTCATAGTTCTTAGCTGTTCATCCATTTATGCAGTAAGAACTTTTTAAGTGCATAATATGTGCCAGGCTATGCTCTGGGTACTTGAAATGTACCAGGGAACAAAACAGGCCCCAAATTGAGCCTGAGGCAGGGGGAGCTTACACTCTAAAGGAGGGAGAGAGACTTAGCAATAAGCCTGATGCCTGAGCAAACAACGTGGTGTTTCTATAAAGGAGATTACAAGCTCTCACTCCCACAGGTTGTTGTGGTGATAACAGGTGACTGTACTTATCCAGCATGGAATACAGCAGGTGTTTAATAAAGTGTTGCAATTACTCTATAAAAAAATTGCTCCCAGGGACTTCCCTGGTGGTCCAGGGGCTAAGACTCCTTGCTCCCAAAGCTGGGGACCCAGGTTCGATCCCTGGTCAAGGAACTAAATCCTGCATGCTGCAACTTACAACTCAGTATGGCCAAATAAATAAATATTTATAAAATAAAATAATTTCTCCCAGGTTTCTTTAAAGCCTTTAAACAGTAAGTGTGAAGTTTGCATCTGGAATGTGTTCATTTGTTTGTTCAGTTAATAACTATTGAGCTTCCATTGTATGGTAGGACCTGCACTAGGCACCTGGAATAAAAACAAATACAGGATCCAGAAAACAGGATTCCCTGCCCTGAACATTCCCCGACTGCCACTGGTCCACATATACTGGTCCACTGTACAGTAGAGGGGAGCCCTTTGAGCACACAAAGGCAGAGTGACCTTGAAGTTTAGGGTTTCTGTGAATCAGAACAGTCTACTTCACCAAGGATGTCTTTTTAAAATTTTATTGAAGTATAGTTGATTTACAATGGGGTGCTAATTTCTTCTGTACAGCTCAGTTATATACATATACATTCAGTTCTGTAACTCAGTTATATACATATACATTCTTTTCCATTATGGTTTGTCACGAGATAGTGAATATATTTCCCTGTGCTACGGAGTAGGACCTTGTTGTTTATCCATCCTATATATAATAGTTTGCATCTGCTAAGCCCAGACTCCCTCTCCACCCCTCTCGCCCCTCCTTGGCAACCACCCTGCTTCATAGATATGTTCATTTGTATCATATTTTAGATTTCACATATAAGTGATATGATATGGTATTTGCCTTTCTCTTTATGACTTACTTTGCTTGGTATGATAATCTCTAGGTCCATCCATGTTGCTGCAAATACACTTTGCAAAAGAGTATTCCACTCTTGATGGCTGAGTAATATTCCTGAGTGTGTGTGTGTGTGTGTGTGTGTATCATATCTTTATCTATTAATCTGCTGATGGGCATTTACGTTGTTTCTGTATCTTGGCTATTGTAAAAAATGCTGCTTTGAGCATAGGGGTGCATGTCTTTTTTTGAATTCTAGTTTTGTCCAGGTATATGCCCAGGCATGGGATTGCTGGATTGTATGACAGCTCCTTGTTTAATTTTTTGAGGAGACTCCATACTGTTTTTCATAGTGACTGCAATTTATATTCCCACCCACAGCTTTGTAGGAGGGCTTCCTTTTCTCCACATCTTCTCCAGCATTTATTATTAATATCTATGGACTTTTTGGCAATGGCCATTCTGACTGGTGTTAGGTGGTACCACATTGTAGATTTGATTTGCGTGTCTTTTACAATTAGCAACATTGAGGATCTTTTCATTGCTTATTGGCCATCTGACAATGTCTTTTTTAATTCAATGCACCCCAGTCATGGCTGGCGATTCTAGGAATGCCATGAACCAGGATATGGAGATTGGGGTCACTCCCAGGGACCCTAAGAAGATTCCCAAACAGGCCCGAGATTACATCCCCATTGCCACCGACCGCACGCGCCTTCTGTCGGAGGGTAAGAAGCCGCGGCAGCGCTACATGGAGAAGAGTGGCAAGTGCAACGTCCATCACGGCAACGTCCAGGAGACCTACCGCTACCTGAGCGACCTCTTCACCACCCTGGTGGACCTCAAGTGGCGCTTCAACCTGCTTGTCTTCACCATGGTCTACACCATCACCTGGCTGTTCTTCGGGTTCATCTGGTGGCTCATTGCTTACATCCGGGGTGACCTGGACCACGTCGGGGACCGGGAATGGATCCCGTGCGTGGAGAACCTCAGCGGCTTCGTGTCCGCCTTCCTATTCTCCATCGAGACGGAGACCACCATCGGCTACGGCTTTCGGGTGATCACGGAGAAGTGTCCGGAGGGCATCGTCCTCCTGCTGGTCCAGGCCATCCTCGGCTCCATTGTCAATGCCTTCATGGTGGGGTGCATGTTCGTCAAGATCAGCCAGCCCAAGAAGAGAGCTGAGACCCTCATGTTCTCCAACAACGCCGTCATCTCACTGCGAGACGAGAAGCTCTGTCTCATGTTCCGGGTGGGCGACCTCCGCAACTCGCACATCGTGGAGGCCTCCATCCGCGCCAAGCTCATCAAGTCCCGGCAGACCAAGGAGGGCGAATTCATCCCCCTGAACCAGACTGACATCAACGTGGGCTTCGACACGGGGGACGACCGCCTCTTCCTGGTTTCCCCACTCATTATCTGTCACGAAATCAACGAGAAGAGCCCTTTCTGGGAGATGTCACGGGCCCAGCTGACCCAGGAGGAGTTTGAGGTCGTGGTCATCCTGGAAGGGATGGTGGAGGCCACAGGTGAGCCTTCCCAGCTCCTTCTCCTTCCCAACCCCCTCCCCCACCCTGGCGCTCAGACCCTGCTGATTCCAGAAGGTGCAGCCTGAAGGCAGCAGCTCAGTCAGCCCCACCCCCAAAATGGTGATTTTCAGGATGGAATTATGAGAGCAGATAATGTGTGTTGGGACTTCCTGGTGGCTCCGTCCAAAGAACCCAAGTGCCAATGCAGGAGATGTGGGTTTGATCCCTGGGTTGGGGAGATCCCCTGGAATAGGAAATAGCAACCCACTCCAGTATTCTTGCCTGAAAAATCCCATGGACAGAGGAGCCTGGTGGGTTACAGTCCATGGGTCGCAAAGAGTCAGACACAACTAAGCGCGCGCCCATGCAGCACACAATGTGTGTTGAACCCACCCAATGTCTGGGCATGGTCTAGACTCTTAAGTACACAGTAGCTCATTGAGTGAGATGGTTTTCCTTCACATACAGGTGTAGAAACAGACAGAGAAGGGCAAGTGCTCCTAAGTCACTGAGCCAGGATGCAGGTCAAAGCCAGGTGATCCAAAGCCAGCACTGGTTTCCAACAGGCTACAGCACCTGTCTTTCCCTCCCTCCCCCCATCCTGGAGAAGGTGTCACCCAAAGGAGGTTCTGTGAGCACATAACTTTGAGAAACTCTGGGTTGATCAAAGGTGAACGGGCTTCTTGCAGGAGGATGTGGCAGTTCTTTACATGTGAATCGCCACCTGAGGCAAGGACAGGGTGATTCCCAAAGTCACAGAATCCTCTTCTGGGAGAGACTCCCAAGTCCCACATCCTTGGGCCCCTGTGGGGTAGGCTGCCACTCAGCTTCCCTGCAGAAGGGGCTCTGTGAACACGGGTGTGTGCAGAAGACAGTGCATCACACCCACCCGTGTCCGGTCAGCACCTCCCTGCCCAGTGACTGACTCATGGAAGCCGAGCGCGTCCCACCTCCTAGCTCTGTGTGGGGCTCAGGGAGGCCAAGGCCTGGGGGGGCCTGTATCCCCACCACACTCCCTGGACGAGGGAGCCCCGCTAACTGTGGGCTCTCCTCTGCTTCCCCCCTTCTTCCTGCCCTCCTTTCTCACTCACAGAGGCGTCTGAGCACCTGGCCTGGCCCTAAGGATGACTCATAGAAAACTCACTGGAGCTGAGACTATACATGTTTTTCTAATCTGGCAACAGCACTGGAGGGCTGGCTTCAACCCTGTTTCACAGATGTGGATGCTGCTTCATGCAGACAGGAGGGTCTGTCATATTTGGGGCTTCACTCAGGCATCTAGAGTTTGTCAGCCACACCACACTGTCCCCCATAAGTTTGGGGGCCTGGCACAAAGGTGGCCATACAAGCCTTCCTGGTCTCCCTGGGGGGATAGGTGGGCGGCTCGGATGGGGCAGCCACAGACAGACCTTCCTGAGCGGAGCAAAACCTCTGGGGTGTGAACAGGCTCCAGGGACCCGGGCGGGGGGAGCTGCTCGGCCATCTGCCGGGGACCCGGGCTGGCCAGGCGGCATATGGTGGCAGCCGGGGAACCCCGGGGACAGGATGGGGGTGCAGGCAGACTCTCCTCTCACCGCTGGGAGCTTGCAGGTCACGCCATCCTTGGAGCCAGGGTCAAACCAGAACACGGGCTGAGATTCCGGGAAAAGAGCTCCATTTCGAGGCCACACAGGTCAGCTCAGAAATGTGGGGACAGATAGGAAAGCAGTGCCATACCATACTTCTCTCCCCCAGCCCTTCACTGCCACTCGCTGACCTCTCCCAGCGTGACTCCTCAGAGGCAGGTCCCTCAGTTGACCTGCCCCATCTGGTTGCCCTCCTCTCTTCCCAGGACCTTGGTCACTCCAGTTCTGCGGGGAGAAAAGAGAGGGAAACCGCCACCCACATGGGCTCTGATCTCAGCCACTTTAGCAGCCTGGTTGCCACATTCGTAGAACCAATCACAGGCTGTGAGTTCAGGAGGTTTGACCAGCGCAGCTCTGCGCAGCCTGCACGTGTGAGTTTGGGCAGGTGGCTCCACTCGCCAGCAGGATGAAAATAACAAACCTCAGAGACTCTCAAGAGAGGAGAGTTAAATGATGAAACGGAGGAGTGCATGTGAAGCACAATGCCTGCCACCCAGAGTAGGCATTCTGTCCTTTCCAAATGCATTGGAAGATGACTGCCAGGCACACTGGTGGGTTTTCAGTCATTGAACAGCCCCCTTCCAAGACGTGGGACAGAAGAAGGGCAGGAAGACCCCAGGAGGTTTGGTCCAAAGCGCCCACGGAGGTCCCGTCTCACTGTGTTTCCTGAGGCCCCCAAGCCTCATGATCTTTGGCTCATGTCTGGACTGGTCAGTGCCCAGCATGGGTTTCTACACCTCTGCTGAGCTGGGGGTTGTCCAAGGACCATGTCCATTCCTGAATTATTCACTCCAGTCTCCAGAAACCTACTCCACAACCTTGCATTGTTAATTTCTAATTTTCTGCCTCCATCACACCTTGAGCTCCTTCAGGGCAAGGGTTGTGTCTTATTCAGCTTTATGTCTAGATCATGCTTAGCACAAAGCCGATATTCAACATATGCTTGGTGAATGACTGGTTGGATAACTGGATGGGTGGATTGATGGATCAGTGATGAATGGATGGATTGGTGGATGAATGGATGGATGATGGAGAGATGATGAAAGATGATGGATAGATGGATGGATGGGTGGGTGGATGGGTGAGTGGATAGATTGATGAAAGATGATGGATGGATGATAGGATGGATGGGTGATGAATAGAGGCACAGATGGACAGATGGATGAACGATGATGAACGGATGGATAGAAGGATGATGGATGATGGGCTGATGGATGGATAATGGATGGAAGGCTGTGGCCACTCCTAATACACGTGCCCTCTGCTCACCCAGGCATGACTTGCCAAGCACGGAGCTCCTACATGGATACCGAGGTGCTCTGGGGCCACCGGTTCACACCAGTCCTCACCTTGGAAAAGGGCTTCTATGAGGTGGACTACAACACCTTCCACGACACCTATGAAACCAACACTCCCAGCTGCTGTGCCAAGGAGCTGGCGGAAATGAAGCGGGAAGGCCGGCTCCTGCAGTACCTCCCCAGCCCCCCACTGCCGGGGGGCTGCGTTGGAGCAGAGCTGGGTGCAGAGGCGGAGCGGGAGGGAGAGGAAGAGCCTGAGGGTCTGAGTGGGTCCCAGGAGACCAAGGCCTCTGCGTGAGGACGGCACTCTCCCCGTGACCTCCCCTCATCCCCCCTGTGCTCCTTTCTCATGAGCACGGAGGCTGCAGGGCTGGGGTTGAAGGGCTGAGTGGGCCGGGTTGGGTGAATGTGCTGAGTGTGCTGTTTTGGGGGTGGGGGTGGCCAGGAGCCTTTTAAGGCTCTATGGGGAGGAGTAGTAACCCAGTCCTGGCACCTCCGGGGCAGGACCTACTGGAGCAGATGGCCTCCAGCTGGTTCCCATGGCAGTGCTGTCTCTTCTCCCTGGCCTCTGTCACACAGGCTAAGGGCCAGGCCAGGAGGGCTTGTCTCACAGTGAAATGCCCAGGTGGCCTCTGTCCTCACACCTCTCTCTGCCAACTGGCCCGGATCACCTTCCTCTTGGGGTTTCACAGACCAACCGGCAAGCCCCCTCCCACCGAGGGCTGACACCCAGAGAAGGCTGCTGCCCCCTTCCCCTCATTCTGGCCATTGTGGAGCCTGTTGTGGATTCAGGGTGGAGAGACCCCTCCAGTCTGGAAGCTCCAATCCCCGGTCCCCAGTGGAGCTCACAGACCTCGTTGGTTCAGGTCACATAGCAATTCTTTGCAAATCTGCCACCAGTGACCACTCAGCGCTAAGGACCTCGCCACCAGATCTCAGCATTACCTGTGAAGTGTGTGCTTTCCCCGCCGTGTTCTGTGGGTCCAATGTAGCCTGCAGACCACTGCTCTCCTTAGGGTGACGTTTAGTCGGGGGTCACTTCCTGGCCGCCCCAGCCACACCGTGCCTGCACCTCCCACCAAAGAGAGAACCCCGGCAGCTGGACCTGTGCTTGGACGTCTGGCCCCAAGAATCTCAAAGTGCTTCTCACCTTCACTGTGGTTTCCCGCACAGTCTCAGAGCCCATGGTGCGATTCATCCAGGGAGAACGCTGTGGTCAGAGGGCAAGATGAGCCAGTCGCTGCTGAAGCAGGGAGGGGGAGGGAAGACACACAGAGAAAGGCAAACAAAACCTGAATTTTAAAATGAGCAGCAGCACAGCTGTCACCAAGATCGCTGACTTCAAGCTTTGCTACCAGGTGAAGCAGGGACATGAGCCATGGGGAGAAGTCGCTATAGGGCTGGTGTCACCTTCCAGCCGAAGTGGGGGACTTTGAGCTGGAGCTGCTGCCCTGGGTCTCCTCTCTGACAGCTGGGGGTCTAATGAGGTGGCTGGGCTGGGAGGGCAGGAAGGATGGCCATCCTCACCTTGCAAACGTGGAGAATCAGAGAAGGGGTGAACATTAAGAGGGCGCTGAATGGAGAAGAGCCTTAAAGACAGCAAGGCATGGGACTTCCCTAACGGCCCAGTGGGTAGGACTCTGCGCTTTCATTGCTGAAGGCTGGATCCCTCTTGGGGAACTAGAATCCCACAGGCCAAGTGGTGCTGCCAAAAAAACCAACAACGGCAGAAGGCTTTCCCTTTCAGCCTGGAGGCGCAGAAAGAGGATGGACAGACGCTGCAGCTGTCATGGTGATGGGGCACATCTGGCTTGTGGATGCTGACAGGCTTCTGATCAGCTGACCTAGACCTGGAGAGATGCAGAAATTCCGGCCACAGAACTGTGGAGGCCTCCCCACCACCATGGCAGAGCTCTTGGCTGACCTTTGAAAAGGGACGCCTCTTCCTGCCCCGAAAGCAAAGCACCTCCCCAGGGAGTAAGAGTAGGAAGTTAAGGCCAAGCCAGAGGAACTGGGTTTGGATCGCAGGCTGGATTTTCCGGGTGCTGGGGCTGCAGAGAAGAGGAGGCAGGCGGCCACATACAGGGGAAGGGACCCGGTTCTCAGGCAAGGGGCTGGATCTGGGGACCAGGAAGCAGCGAGGAATAGGGTCTTCCCTACAAGGTGGTGGTGAGTCCTGACTCCAGGCAGGCATCCCTCTGTAATGAAGCAGGTCGTGGAGGGAACCAGGAATGGGCTGGAATCCTGTCCTCCAGGGAAAGGAAAGGAGAGCAGGGAACCTGGCGCACTAAGACTGGATGCCTTGGGGGTCTTGAGGAGCTATAGCTGGAACTGTGAAGTGGGTGCCCATCCTCAGCCCACCAGATCCAAGGCTTGCACTGCAGGACTGTTTTGTTGCCTTCCCCCCGCCCCCGCCCCCACCAGATCTAAATGCTGCCTTCGTCAAAACCCATCAATGCCTGCAGGTTTAGAGCGTTCAGTGAGGCAGGTTAGCAAGGATGGGAAAACCATAGGAGAAGTAGGGCTTGCAGTCGGGCTGAGTCCTGGGCTATTTCACACCTGCCTGCACCTAGCAACCCCAAGTGGCCACATGAGTCATTCCCCTGTGTCCTAGCTCTGCGGTAGCCCCCACAAACCCAGGCCACATCATGTTTCAACCAACTGCAGACATGGTGGAGCCTCAGAAAAGGAAGCAATGGGCACCATCCTCTTGGGAACTCCCCAGAGGGGCCGAGCCCCCTGCACTGGTATGAATCGGGTAGCAATCCCACTGTGCACCTTAGCTGCTATTTCTCAAGAAAATTCAAAGGCAAGAAGGCTGCCTTTTGTATCCCCAGGCAATCCTTCTTGGTGACCAACTGATCGAACTAAAGTTTGAAACACTCCACAAGTCATTTTCTGGTCGTTCTCATATCAACATGTAGAGTCTGATGAAGGTTGGAACCTCAGAGGATCACTTTAAAAACACTGCATCTACCCACAAGCTACCTATGAGTCCCAGCCCTTAGCCACATGGCTCTGAGCACACACATCACCTCTGATGGGTCACAGAGAGGTGAGCCAGGCTGGCTGCAAGGTGGCTGTTCACAAGCCTCAGCACTTCCAAAATCCCAAAGAATTCTCATCAGTCAGACCCTAAAGCCTTGGGAGCTAACTTCCTGCCTCAACTTCCATGTGCTTCTGCTCTGGAACCATCCCCTGTAAGGGTGAAGCCCCCAGGAGCTCAGAAGGTAAGTCTCCACTCATCCTCTCAGCATCCGTCTGACACCTGCTAGGTCTCCACAGCCTTGCCCAAAGACCCCCATTCCCAGGTCAGGTTGAACAAGCTTTGCCCATGACTCTCCCCTCCAGACACCACCCTCCCTGTGCAGTCAGCCCACTTCCTATCATTTCCTTCTGCTGGTCGAGGTCCTGGCTGCAGCAGCTGGCTTTGAGGGAGGGGAAGGAGCCCTCGTCCATCTGGGAAGAGCTCTCCTGCTCGTGACCGGTAATAGCCAGCACCTTCTGTCACACTCTGGCCCCATGCCTGGCTTCCAGCACGCCTCAGCCCTGTGTCTCCCGAGAGTTGGAAGCCACAGACACTCGAAATTTCTGTATTGAAGTTGCCCCAAACTAAAACAACCCCCCCCTCCTTTAAAGTCACCTGCTGTCACCTAAAAATATGCCCTGAACACGTCTTTGGGCAAACACCCTTTACTGTGCACCTACTATGTGCCCATGGATTAGGCCTTTGCCTGTAAGATGATGCTTAATTCTCAAAAGCCTGCTGAGAAACTCTTAGGAACCCCTTGCTGTCAAAGAGATAACTGAGGTTCAGAGATGTTAATTCAGTTGCTCAAGGCCATAGATAATCAGAGGACCATGGGGCCCAGAGCAGAACCTCCCAAACACAGAAGAGCCTTCGTCCTGCATAAACCCCTGCCCCCAGGGCAGCTCCCGGGCTCCCTGGAAGGAAGGAAGGAAGGAAGAAGAAAGGAAGACAGCCCCACCTCTCCTGGCTGCCCCTGTGTGTGCCGTGCTGTGGACATCAGCTTCCATCCACCAGCAATGTTCTCCCATGGCAGGATGATTGGGAAACACCTTTTTCTGATTCCGAGGGAATTAATGAGCTGTGAAAAGAGATTAGATGGGGAATTATTGCTTTGTGGGAGAAGCCACTTATTCTGCTCAACTTGGTTTTTACTAAACACATCTCCCTAACTCCTATGTCAAATCTCTTCCTCTCTGTGTAGGACTTGTCAATCTTCTCATTAAAAAGAACAGCATTGCACTGCTGAAAATTCATCCAATAAAGTGGATTTGATCTTACAGTACTCTTTCTCATTTTAAGTAGATAGCCGTTGGTTGCCATTCAATTCACTGCCAGTTTAAGCAAACTTGTCCTTCTTGTTTTCACTAGTGCGTGCGTTGTCATGTCCAACCCTTTGATCCAACCCTTTGGGACGTCCCTGGTGGCTCAGATGGTTAAGTGTCTGCCTACAATGTGAGAGACCCGGGTTCAATCCCTGGGTCGGGAAGATCCTCTGGAGAAGGAAATGGCAACCCACTCCAGTACCCTTGCCTGGAAAATCCCGTGGACAGAGGAGCCTGATAGTCTATAACCCACGGGGTCGCAAAGAGTCGGACACGACTGAGTGACTAAACTTTCACTTTGGACTGTAGCCCTCCAGGCTCCCCTGTTCATGGGATTCTCCAGGCAAGAATACTAGAATGTGTTGCCATTTTCCTCCTCCAGAGGATCTTCCTGACTCAGGAATCAAACCCACATCTTCTGTGTCTCCTGCATGGCAGGCAGATCCTTTACCCGCTGAGCTATCAGGGAAGCCCCTAGAAACACAGAAGTTGCTTCAATCGTGTCCGACTCTTTGCAACCCTATGGGCCCTAGCCCCCCAGGTTCCTCTGTCCTTGGGATTCTCTAGGCAAGAATGCTGGAGTGGGTTGCCATGCCCTTCTCCAGGGGATATCAGTATCTTAACTGGAATGGAAGTGATAGTCTGGGCAAGGTGGGGAGGAGACAGGAATCAGCGCCCAACCTCCAGACACAGAGCGGGGCGAGGCCATCACCACCCAGAGCATACAAGCTATGTGCCTTCTCCTGTTAGATCATTCATTCCATCCCCCACATCATTCTCACACATGTTTTTACATTAAATATTCAGACTACACTACCTAAATAATGAGTGTCTAAAAGAAATCCCATGGATACGAAGGAGCCTGGCAGCCTACAGTCCATGGGGTCACACAAGAGTCACACACGACTTAGCAACTAAACAACATGAAGCATCCACCTTAAAGAGTCCCTGCACTGACCGCCTGCATTCATGGCATTAATTAGCACAGATTGATATTACTGAATTATGGGGGGAGGACGGGGGAAGCTGGGATGTGTCTTTATATAGGCAAAGGAATTCAGGATTTTCAAGTGAAGGAAACAGTTTCTGCTGAGGATGTCAGAGGA